CACCTGTGATCGCGCACTGTGGGCCTCTGAGCCGCTCTCATCAGGGCGGAAGATGAGGAAACAAACAGCCGTTTGGGTGTTACATCTAGGAAGAGGCCCCCAAGGGAGCACATTCGTTATAAATCGTTACAACAAATGTTTCTCATTTTTGGTAAAAAAAAAAAAAAGAGAGAAAAAAATGCACACAAGCAGTGAACCGTTCAGAAGGCTATACCCCAAATGCTAAAAGTGGGTGTGCCTTTGTGGGGGTGGGACCCTAAGTGACCTTTATTTCACAACTTTCTGCACTTCTACTGTGACTGCTGGCTTCTGTGAACCATCAAAAACACACCGCACTGAAGACAAATGAAAGAAGCCATTGTGTGCGGAAGTTATTCTTTTCCCGGGGGGCTTGGGAACAAGATGTGTCGTAACCCAGGAAACCAGGGATGCGGTTGCAGCAGGAGCTCAGCTGGACTCTGGGCAGCGCTGGGCGGCAGGAGGAATCCGGGTGACCTTGAAGGGTCCTGCCCTCCTCGGGCCTCTGACCAGCCCCCCAGCCCCCCCTCTGTTCAGAACCTACCCGGAATGGGAGCCCAGCCCCCAGAGCCATCGTGTCAGAACCACCCTGCCCCCAACTCACCAGCAAGGGTGATCATCTCGGGGTCCTCGGTGGGGACCGCCTTTTCCTGGGAGCACAGCCTCCCCATGGCCTCCCGTTCTCAAGGTCACCTTGAGCCCAGGCTGGTTCTAAGCAAACCGGTCACTCTTAAAGGCCTGAATGCCTCCAGCCTGTGTGGGCCCAGCGGTCAAGGTGGTTACATTTTCAGTAACAAACAGGAAGGTGGTCTTCATTTCTGCTTCCGCCATGGCAGGCTGGGCCCACCTGCCTGTGAACTCACGGGACCGAAGCCCCCAGCCTGAGGGCGGCCTGCCCCCTTGTCCGAGGCCTCCCCCCAGGACCCCCGCCCAGGGCTGCCCAGCCGCCCCCACAAGACCGTTCCTGCTGCCACCCAGCTCCGCCCCCTGGTCCCCCCAGAGCCCAGGGGCCCCGCCCAGACCCCAAGCAGCCCGTGGCATCAGACAGGGCAGTCACCCCCCCGGGGGAGCCGGGCACACGCTCCTGCAAGGCTGCTGCCTGCCCCGGGCAGCTCACGCTCCTGAGCGCAGCCCTCACAGGCAGGACCTCCCCAGGCCTGGCGTGCGTGGCTGAGAAACAAAGACCTCCTCTGCCCAGGGTGGGGGGCCCCCCTGGGACTCCCCGACCCTGACCCAGTTGCTCTCTGCTGACCAACCAGCTCCCGACAAGGTGAAGGCCCCAGGACGGAGCCCCGGGGTGGAAGCCGGCTGAGTGGCCACCCTCCATCTGACAGCCCAGTGTGGACTGTTCTTAGTCCTGGACAAAAACAGACGGCCTCAGCATGGACGGTGACAACCCTGCAGCTGGAGTCCCACCCGAGGGCCCACACCCAGCACCCGGGACGGGGCAGACGCTGAGCCCCGAGTCGGCAACCCCCAAGTGTGCCTGCTGCCACAGGTGCAGCGTCCACATTCTGCCCAGCGCCCAGTTCAACAGCCTCTCGGGGCCTTGCCCTTCACCTCTGAAGGGCAGCCCGCGTCTCCTAGGGGGCCTGCCACCATCGCTGGCATCACCACCAGCCAGCGATGGGAAGATGCCGGTCCTTGGATGCGTCGTCAGCTGGTGGTGACACCACTGTCCTCCTGCACAGTCGCCCTGCCCTGGAAACCACGTTTTGGGAGATGCCAAGTTTCCTTCTGAGCCTAGCCACACGAGCTCGGGTTTCCTGGGACCTGCCGCAGCTGAGACTGCCCTGACACAGCGGCAGGAGCCGGGTGCTTGTGGGCGATCCAGGGCCTGGATTATACCCACGAGGTGGCAGAGAAGCGCACAGAGACGGGAAGCCTGGGAAGACCTGTAGCCGCCCGGCCGGGCCAGAGACAGGTCAGAGAAACACAACAGGGGTCTCGAAGTCTCTCCCTGTGGAGCTGTGATTCTGAGGCAAGTTCTTACACATGAGCACGGCACTACAACCCGGGTGGTCTGAGACCTGCAGCTCCAAATACAACTTATAAACTGGTGTGTGCAGGGGATACATCTCTGTGTGTGAATATACAGATATGCATCCATGCATGTACAAATACACACACGTACACGATCTGCACACCCGTGCGTGTACCTGCTCAGTGATATTGTATCGGTGTGAACACGCAATGAAATAGGCTTTTTGAAAATCTCTGGGATAGAGAAGAGACTGCAGGGCCACAGAGCAGGCGAGGAGGCTGGCAGCAGGGCATAGGGAGGAGGGATTTCGGAGGGGAGGCCGGGGTGGGGGGGGCGCTTCCGGGGCATGGACGCCCCCTGGTGCTGACTCACCGCCGGTTAGAGAAGTGTGTGGGGCCGCAGGGCGCCAGGTCACAGGAGGAAGGAGAGGGCAGAGGGTCTGGGGCTGAGTCAGCCCGGGGCAGGGACTCCGGCATCACAGCAGCCCTGCTGGGGCCTGATGAGGTCCACGAGGAGCCTGGGGGGCAGCCGGCCGCCATGAGGACCTGAGACCCCCGTGGTGGGGGAAGGCAGGTAGTGGAGGGAAGTGGGGGGCGCGCAGGATGGACAGTGGGGACTGTGGCCACGGAGAGGGCGGTGACCACTCACTGTGGCCACGAGGGGACATGGGTCCAACGTCAGAAGGGTTGCCAAGGTTTCAAGAGCAAACAGGAATTTGAATTTTTATGCAGCATCTCCTGATTTTTAAGTGTTGGTTTAAAAAATGTATGGATATGAGAGCTGGACTATAAAGAAAGCTGAGCGTCAAAGAATTAATGCTTTTGAACTGTGGTGTTGGAGAAGACTCTTGAAAGTCTCTTGGACTACAAGGAGATCCAACCAGTCCATCCTAAAGGACATCAGTCCTGAATATTCATTGGAAGGACTGATGCTGAAACTGAAATACTTTGGCCACCTGATGTGAAGAGCTGACTCATTTGAAAAGACCCTGATGCTGGGAAAGATTGAAGGCAGGAGGAGAAGGGGACGACAGAGGATGAGATGGTTGGATGACATCACTGACTCGGACATGAGTTTGAGTAAACTCTGGGAGTTGGTCATGGACACGGATGCCTGGCATGCTGCGGTTCATGGGGTCGCAAAGAGTCGGACATGACTGAGTGACTGAACTGAACTGAACTAAAAAAGTTTAAAGCACCAGCCTTACCAGCTAAGTGGCAGACTGGGACTCAAACCCCGACTGGATCCAAATCAGTGAGGGGCAGGCCCAGGTTCCCTGGGCATGGGGCGCTGCAGCAAGCAGGAGGCAGGGGCCAGCCTGCTCCGTCTGGCCAGCCATCCCAGATGTTCTCTGTTCTCAGCTCCTTCCAACCAGCAGGAATGACCTGGCTGCTAACGGCTTCAGGGATCCTTAGGAACCATGCCCTCCCAGGGAGAGATTGCACTGATACAGGCATGGGGCTCTGACAGTCAGAAAACAAGAGAGGGATGGCGTATTGGCTGCTTTGTCCTCTGGTTCCTCACTCAACGGTGGTCTGTTAGGGTATAAACCGAGGTCCCCGCCTCCCTTCAAAGACTGACAAGAGACATCAGCCCTCAGGGAGTGATAATCGGAACAGGAGTGGACACTTGATGGCAGGGTCAATTTAGGGAGACTCCAGCGGGAAAAGGAGAGGATGGGATGATTTGAGAGAAGAGCATTGAAACATACATAGTACTGTACGTAAAACAAAACCCGTGAGAGTCGATGTACGAAGCAGGGCACCCAAAGCCAGCGCTTGGTGACAACCTCGAGGGGCGGGGTGGGAGGTTCAGGATGGAAGGGGTGTGTGTGTGTGACACGTGGGGACAACCTCGAGGGATGGGGTGGGAGGGGGATTGGGGGGTTCAGGATGGAGAGGCATGTGTGTGTGACACGTGGTGACAACCTTGAGGGTTGGGGTGGGAGGGGGGTTGGGGGGTTCAGGATGGAGGGGGCACGTGTGTGTGACACGTGGTGACAACCTCGAGGGATGGGGTGGGAGGGGGGTTGGGGGGTTCTGGATGGAGGGGCACGTGTGTGTGACACGTGGTGACAACCTCGAGGGATGGGGTGGGAGGGGGGTAGGGGGGTTCAGGATGGAGAGGCACGTGTGTGTGCTGTGTGTGCTTAGTCGCTCAGTCGTGTCCAAGTCTTTGCGACCCGGTGGACCCTAGCCCGCCAGGCTCCTCTGTCCATGGGATTCTCCAGGCAAGATGCTGGAGTGGGTTGCCCTGCCCTCCTCCAGGGGATCTTCCCAAGCCAGGGATCAAACCCAGGTCTCCCTCATTGCAGGCAGATTCTTTACCATCTGAGCCACCAGGGAAACCCAAGAATACTGGAGTGGGTAGTCTATCCCTTCTCCAGGGGATCTTCCCAACTCAGGAACTGAACCGGGGTCTCCTGAATTGCAGGTGGATTCTTTACCAGCTAAGCAACCAGGGAAGCCTGGACACATGTATACCTGTGGTTTATTCATACTGATACACGGCAAAAACCATCACAACACTGTAAAGTGATTATCTTCTAGTTAAATACATTAATTAAAAAAAACTGGGGAGACTGATAATGGAGTGACAAACAAGTCTCTTGTTTCTCAAGAGCACATGCACAAAACATCAACTGCCAAAGGCCACCCTCCCCTCTAAGCATAGAATCTTTTCTGAAAATGAAACAGCTGAGAGATAAAGAGCCGGCACCCTGATACCATTTAACACCTGGATCATGCCATGCCTGAAATCCAACCCCTCAGCTATTCCGATTATATGAGCTAATGATTGTCTTTTAAAGCGTAGCCTGGGTCAAAATTAGTCTCTGTCATCAGTAACTGAAAGACTCCTGCCCAAATTATAGAGAAGTGGTGTGCAAGAGCAGAAGGCCCTGCCCCCTGGCCGCAAGCTGGACCGTGTGCAGCGCCTCCTCTCCAGGTGGACACTGGACAGCACCCCACCCCCAACATCCCCATTTGTCCCCTCCTACCTGGAAATAGTGCAGAAGGATGCCTGCTCCAGACAGCCCCAGGCCTGCAAACAGGAAGGGCAGGGTCACCTGGATGCCAATGGACCAGGCAGTCTCCCTGCTGAGCTCGGGCCCTGGGGGCGTGGGGACCGCCCTTGGGCTCTCGAGGCCGCTCCCTGCCCCGAGGGCCTGCAGCAGCCCCAGCTCCTCCGGCCTCCGCTGTCGGGTCTCCATTGTGGCCACAGGAGCTCAGCCGGGCCCTGACAGCCTCAACCTGGGAACACAAGCGACAAATGCAAAGGTTGGGTCTTCAGAGAGAATGAGTAAATCAACAAGCCTGTAGGTGACCAAGAAAAAAAGAAGACTCAGGTATTTAGGAGGGAACATAACTTCCAAACTTAAAATTTTTAAATAATTATGAGGGAATTGTAGGTATGCTGACAGATTAGAAAACCTAGATGAAATGCACAAATTCCTAGAAACATACAGACTAACTAAAAAAAAAATTTTTAATGTAGAAGACCTATAACAGAAGACTGAATTAGTCATGAAAATACTCTCATAAAGAAAATTCTAAGATCAGACAACTTCAGTAGTGAATATCAAGCATGCAGGTTGAAAAGGAAGTAGTATAACTACCTCCATGTAGAAATGGCATGTGCTGCACATAGAAAATTCTGAGGAATATGTATACACATGCACACATACATGAACACATATGTATACACACATACACACACAACTATTACAACTAAAAAACAAGTACATTATGGTCGTAGCATACAAAATCGATATAAAAAAGTTGTTTTATTCTATACAAATCCAAAAATTAAAACAATTGCCCCTGAAATAGCATCAAAAAGCATAAACTACTTAAGAACACATTTCACAAAAGATGTGTAAAACTCTGACCCTGGAAACTGGAAAACACTGTTGAAGGAAAATGTTACAAATCCAGCAAATGGAAAGATATTCCATGTTCACAGGTTGGAAGACTTAATATTGCTAAGAGGGCAATATTTTTCAACTGATCTACAGATTCAGGAGAATCCCTGTTAAAATTTGGCCTATTTTGGTGAAAATGACATGAGGATCCCAGACTTCATGTGGAAAGGCAAGGGACCCAGAACCCTAAACAGCCTTGGAGGAAAATGTTCAAAGTTAGAGAACACACTTGAGGAGTTCAAGACTGAACTATGAACTAGAGTGAACAAGGCCACATAACAGTGGGGTAAGACTAGAAATACAGGTCAATGAAACACAATTGAGAATTGTGGATAAAGCCACACACCTACGGTCAGCTGATTTTCAACAAGGAGGCTGCGCTATTCAATGTGCAAACAAAAGTCTCAACAGGCCCACGGTGCTGAGACACCACATGCATAGGAATGAACCTGGATCCTTACCTCAGCTCATACACAAAAACTAACTCAGAATGGGTCAGAGACCTAACCTAAGAGCTAAAACCATGAAACAGAAGAAAACACAGGGACCTTGGATTAGGTTCTCGTTTCTTAGATGTGACATTTAAAGTACAAGAAACCAAATAATAATTAAGTAGAATGGGGCTTCATCAAAATGTCAAAGTTTGATATTTCAGAGAACTCTATCAAGAAAGCGAAAAGACCACTCGCAAAATCAGAGAGGATATTTGCCAATCATATATCTGATTAGGGTCTGATTTCCAGAATATAAAAAGAGCACAACTCAACAATAAACCCAACTTAACTCTGGCACAGGAGTTGAATTCCCCAAAGAAGATTATACAACAGCCATAAGCAAGCACAGTAAAAGATGCTCAGCACTAGCTGTTTGGAAAATGCAGAACAAAACTACAGGAAGATGCCACCTAGGGTAGCATTTTCAAGGGTGTTCCATGTTGATATACGAGTCAGCACGCCATTCCTTTTTTATACACCATTCTTTTTAAGGCTAAGTAACATCCCGATCCTGTGGCTGGATCACAAACTGCTTAGCCCCTCGTTTCAGCTGTTAGGGCTACTGCGGCCCTGAACATTCTGGGGCAAGTCTCTGTGTGGACAGGGGCTTTTTGTCCTCCTGAACTGGACATTTCAAAGGGCGGATTTTTGGTGATTTTACATCTCAGCAGAAAGTATGTATGAATCACTTATGAATTAAGGTCAAGAAGCAGAACGCCCCCAGCCTCCCCAAACCCCGAGCCCCTCTCTGAAACACCGGCTCCCCACCAGCGCCCACACCTCCATGCCCTGCCCTTAGCTCCCCCAGCACTAACATCAGGTCTGGGACCGGGTCACTCACTGGTGCCCTTCCACAGCTGGGGGGTCAGGGCCACTCCTGACTACTCACTGGGAGCGAGATACTGGACCCAGTGACTGCCTTCCACCCTACAGGCCTCTGCTTCAGGGAGCCCTGGAACCCGGGCCCGGAATCCCAGCTCCTCCTCCCCACACTAGCGTGTCCTCGGAAGAGTCACATTTCTGTGCTTCCGCAGGGTGGCGAAGAGGTAAGGGAATAAGATGACCTGCATTGCAGGACACGTGGCCTGCCCGCACTCGGCACAAGCCCTCGGAGACTCTGCGGTTTCAGGTCAGCGCTGTTTATTACCGCCTCAGCGAAGCGCCTGGGGGCCCTTAAAGGCCGGCGGCGCCGGACCCACCCGGGCACTTTCGGATCCGCGGCGGGCGAGGGGCGCGAGTCTCAGAGCGGCCTGAGCGACAGCGCCCCTCCCCCGCTCCGAGCCGTGGGGTGCTCCTCTCTCCCGGCCGGGCCCCGCGGACCGAACCTGCAGCCCCCAGCCCTGCCTCTTCCGCGCGCGCGCTGCTCCATCCCCCTCCCCGGGCCTGGACCCGCGTGCTGCTCGCTCCGTGCACTCCACCCCGGACTCAGCGGGCGGAGCACCGCACTCACCGGACGCCCTCGGCGGCGGCGGGGGGAAGCGGCTCGGCGGGAGGAGCAGCGTGGCCGCGGGGCCACCTAGAAGGCGGGACGGCGACAGTCCACCCCAGCCCGCCCAGGACCCAGAGCCCCGCCCCCGGGTCGGAGTCCCGCCTCGGACCTGAGTCCCCGCCCCCGCCCCGCCCCGCCCAGGACCAGAGTCCCCGCCCCCGGACCTGAGTCCCCGCCCCCGCCATGCCCCGCCCAGGACCCGGAGTCCCCGCCTCTGAGCGTGAGTCCCCGCCCCCCGCCCCAGTCCAGAGTCCCTCTGGTCTGGTGCCGCCGTCGCCCCGCAGGCCGCGCGGACCAGGACTCGGGCGGGGGCTGGGGGAGGATCGGGCCCCGGGGCGGGGCCTGGGGGAGGGCCGGGCCTCAGAGCGGCTGCCCCCTCCTTGGGCGGTGACGCCGGGTCCTCGGACTCTGGCGCCGAGACCCGCCCAGCGCGGGGGTTGGAAGGGGCTCTCTGCCGGGGTGGACGCGGGGAGCCGGTCGGCCTGGGGGAGGGGCGTAAGGGCCCGCCTGTCCCCGCCGGCTCGTCCCGGAAGAGCTCGGGCGGCCTGGGCTTGCGCTGCACTGCGCCTTTTTTCCCCTCTGAATCCCGCCCCCGCACACATTTTTGTTTATCCTCCTGCAGTCATTTTAAAGCATCCAGCAGACATGTTACACCTGAACATCAATTCAATCCAGTCGCTCAGTCATGTCCGACTCTGCGACCCCATGGACCGCAGCACGACAGGCCTCCCTGTCGATCACCAGCTCCTGGAGTTTACCCAAACTCATGTCCATTGAGTCGGTGATGCCATCCAACCATCTCATCCTCTGTCGTCCCCTTCTCCCGCCTTCAATCTTTCCCAGCATCACCTGTACATACTTAAGTCTTTAGTGGATAAGGCCAGTTTTCTCAGACATTCCCATAAAACCAGCATCATATTGACAAAGTTGACAACACCCAGCGGTTCAGTTTTCCCTGATGGACTCAAAACTGTCTTTTGACCGTTGGCCTGTTCTGGTCAAGGTGGGAGGAAGGATGAGAGACGTCCCCCCCCCCCTCAGGGGGCGGTCTCAGGCACTGCTTCTCTGCAGGATTTCCTGGGAGCATGCTCAGGGTGGAGCCAGAGTGTGGGTACCCTCTGCAGGGAGGGGAAGGGTGCAGCCCGGCCCTGGAGTGACCCCTCAGGGACTGGGATTTCGGACCTCCTCCCACGGGAAGCCCACCTGCCCTGCAGTTCAGCGGACCCCCAGAGCGCAGGCTGCCCCGCCTCTTTATGGCTCGGCTGACCCCTGGGAGTGTCAGGCCCTCGTCTTTGGCCTTCCTCGCTCCTCGGAGGCGTCTTGGCCGAGTCCGTGTGCTATATTAAGGAGGATATTTTTGCCTCTTGTACGGTGAATTCCCCAGGGGACTATGTGGGTTCATCCTCAGGTTCCCATCCCCAGAAAAGACCTGGCGATGAGCGAATCTGGGAGGTGGTCCCAGGAATCCCGGTAGGACAGTGCAGGGTGGGCAGGCAGGGGAGGCAGCCGTGGGTCTCCGGAGCTCAGCCCTGTCCTGCCGGGACTCTGGGGGCCTCAGAGTACCCCCACCCCAGGCCCTGCACAGCTCCCGTCTTGCCCAACCCTAAGTGAGGACTGGTTTTTCCTGGACTGTGGTGCCCTGGACATTCAGGCCAGGTGGGTAGGTGGCTCCCTTCGGGAGAGAGCCCTCCTGGGAATCCCTGAAGTTCCCACGGGCTGGCTGCAGGGGTGCAGATGGCATGGTGTGTGCTTTCTGGACGTCACCGCTGACCCCCAGGGCCCACCTGCGAGGTGATGAAGAAACTCGGAAAGAGTCACTGCACCTGCCCAAGGCCACGCCTGGAGAGGCAGAGGCGGGTCGGACCGCTCTCTCCACCCGGCCAGCTCTGTGGACACCAGCTGAGCAAATGCAGGACCACCCTCTGGTCACCCACGGTCCAGCTGAGAGGTGAGCACTCCATGGGTTATCTGGCTTTGGTATTCAATTCATATCACATGTATAATTTATCACATGTAAAATTCTCAGGAAGCCAGAAGGCGTCCCAGGGCAGCAGGGGGTCTTCTCCATCCCACGGGCCGATTCCCAAGCAGGAGGACTTACCTGCTAGCAGTAACAGGGACTCAGCTGTGGGTAAGCTGCGGGCCCCTCCTCCAGGTGGGGTGTCAGGAGAGATGGTCCAGCTCCCAGGACCCAACCTGAGGAGCTGTGGAGGGAGCAGCCGCTGGGAAGACACCTCAGGGCTCTGGACCTGAAGGATTAGGTGACGGAGCCACCGCTAAAAATAGTCTCACAGGTCTGGCTGACTTCATGTTGTGGAGAGGCTGGCAAAGGAGGAGACCTGGGGTCAGTGAGAGCCTGTCCCCTGGCCCTGCCCCAAAGGCCACGCCCTGGCGTGGAGGTTGGCAGGGTGTTAAAAAGATGAATGCCAAGTGGGCTTGCGGTACATCATCGGTGTCAGCATCTCTGACAGTGTGATTTACTAGTAAGACACACACATGGTTTTCATCTGCTGTTCCTGGCACAGAGCTCCTTAAACCCTTGGAATTCCCTTTGGTGAGCGGGATGAAGGTGACTTTCGTCCTGCAGATAAGGTGACTCTGGGAAGCCTTACCTAAGAGGAGGGGGGGCTGGCTGACCAGAGCTCAGAACTGGAGTCCCAGCCCCCTGACCTTCGGGGAGGGGAGGGGCTGGAGGTGGGACCAGTCGCCAGTGAGGAGCCGGTCCTGGGGAGGAATCCTCCAGGGAAGCCCCAGAGGAGGGGCCCAGAGAGCCTCCAAGGGGGGAGACTGCGAGAGACGGGGGCCTGGGGAGGGTGTGGGAGCTTGGGACCCCCCCCCACCTGCCACTGTGTCTCTGCCACCTGCCTGTTGCTGAGGCAGCCTTTTATTAATATAAGAAAAACCTACGATCTAGCAAGTAAAGTGTTCCTGAATTCTGTGAGCTCCTCTGGCAAAGTAACTGGGCCTGCAGAGGGGGTCGTGGAGGGGCGGGCCGTGGGGGTGGGTCACTCTGCTCTGCAGCCGGTGCGTGGGTCAGACCACACCTGCCCACCTGAGGCTGGGGGCGGGGAGAGCCTCGCAGGACCGTGCCCTTAGCCTGAGGGAGACAGTGTCAGGACTGAGCTCCACTGAGGACCCCCAGCTGGTGTCTGAAGTGGGAGTCTCTTGGGGCTAAGTCTCCCTGCCTCCAGGGAGATGGAGTCAGGACTGGCTTGAGCTGACCCAGCTGGTGTCAGAACCACTGGGAGGTCTGGGGACCCCTCCATACACACTCGAATCTGCTGCAGAACCTCTGAGCATGGAAGCGTGAACGCTCAAAGTGTGATGGAACGTGACTGTGTTAGGACTGAGCCATGACACAGATTACTCAAAGTTCTGAACTGTACTGTGTCCTGTGTAGCGACTATGCGCAGATCTGCGGTGGGCAGTGTGGGCCTTTTTCCTCCTGGCGGGAAGCGACAGCTCAGCTCCATGGTCACTGAAACTCTGAGTTTCGGTTCAGCAAGATGAGAGCGTTCTGAGATGAGAGCGTTCTGATGCTGGTGATGTTTGCTTACATTTTTCTCGTCTTGCCTTAAAATGTGGATTTGATTTCATCACCACCCTGTGTAAAATCATGTAAGACAGTGGTCACTGCAATTTTAGGAAAACTAATATGTTTCAAGAGGATTTGTAAGATGAATTTCTCTCTCTCCTCCAGAAAAGCGAGTCTGTTTCTGTCCCTCAGACGCCGGGGGTCAGGTCGCTGGCCAGGTCTCCTCCTCCTCACAGCAGCTGGGATGCTTTGACGCTTCTCCAGCTTTAGAAGCAGGTTGAGTTCCCCCGTGGGTATCTCCTGCCTACCTTCCCACCGCACACTCTCTGCCCCGGTTCACTCATGAGTATTTTAATAGTAGTATTTTTCTAAACTGCCTGGAACGCTTCTGTTAACATGGTGAGGATAAGCACATTTAAACATTATACAGAGAGGGGGCAGGTTCACTCTCTCCACGGGACAGGCTGCTGGCAGGTCCCCTCTGTGACGGCGGGTGTTCAGTGGTGTCTCCTCCCCCACCCCAGCCCCCTGCTACAGCCACATCTGCTTGTTAGGTAAACGCCCATCACTGGGTCCACACTCGCCCTGGTGGGGACAGCCTGAGCCCTGACTCCCCTCAGAGCTGGGCCTCGGGACCGGCAGGCTCCACGTCCCCTGGAGCTCTGTCCACTCAGCGGGGCCCCATGACCACCGTCCGGCTGCCGAGGAGGCTGGGAACTCTGCCCCCTTCAGGCATCCATGAGCCCAGATAAAATCTGGGAGTTAGGAAAGGAGGAATAAAGGCAAACAAATGTAGATAACTCAGTCTGTGCTCCCTCCTGTGAGACAATAGAGACTGCACACGGGACTCTGCCCCCGAGGTCCTGGCACACAGCCCCCGAGCCCCCGCCATGCCCAAGGTGAAAGGAAAACTAGGAGCATCTGTTTATTGGGGAAACACTGGGGGCTCCTGGTGGGCTGCTCACCAGAAAGACCCAGCCAGGACCAGGAGCTCCAACTCTCAGTTCTGCCCCGACCCCATCCTCCAGAGAGGGGAAACAGTCGGGGCCGGAGAGGCAGGTCACGGCCCCTTTGGACGGGGTGGGTCCCCTCTACGGCGCGTCTCCACAACAGGCCCCAGGCAGGGGACAGAGTCCAAGAGCCAGGGCACGCGGACAGGCAGGGACATGGGTGCTGGTCAGGACGTTTATTTGTATGGGGTCACTTCCTGACCGAGGTCACGTGGATTGGGCAAGGTGGGGGTCCCGGATGGGGACAGAGGTGCAGGCCAGAGGCTTCCACTGCATTCGGGCTCGAGCCACAGCTGGGGACAGTCCTGAGACCCTCCTCAGTACTCAAAGGTCACCGTCTTGACCCGCAGGTACTCGTTCAGGGCTGCTTCTCCTGTAAGAAACCCCACACCAGGGGCAACGTCATGGTCCCAGCAGCTGCTCTGGTGGGTGGCGCTGGCGTGCCCGGCACTGTGGTCATCTTAGGACCCCCGCTTCCCGTGTCACTCCCCAGACCCCCGTCTTCCCTTGGCTCCGAGGGGCTCTGCTGCTCTCCCGCATGTTGCTGCCCACCCCCCCCCCCCAAGCTGGGCACTGGAGCCGATCCCCCACACGATCCAGCCCCCAGTCGCCGGCTTCCACAGTGGCAGGGTGGGGGGGTGGGAGCCACCCCAAGTCACTAGCGGCCAGAGAAAGGGGGGCGCCGGGCAGAGGTCCGCTTCCCTGGGAAGGCCGGGCCTGGTGCCACCCTCTCTGCCTTGGCACTCACATCGTCCTCTCAGGTTCGCTCGACCCCCACGGGCTTCCTCTCTGAGGATGAAGCCTGAGCCTGATCGGGGCTCCCAGGCCCCCTTGATCTTGCACTTGCCTGCCCCCCGGCCCACGGGCGCACTCAGCCTCTCTCTGCAGCACCAACAGCAGATCCTCCAGCCGCTCAGGTCTTGGCCCAGGGACACCTCCTCTGGGAGGCTGACCCAGCCCCCAGCTAAAGCCACTGTCCAGCTTCCTGTTCAGACCACTGTCTGGACAGCTTCTAGCAGGATCTGACTCCCTGCCTTGGTCACTGGCCTGTCGGCTCCCAGAAAGAAGTAAGTGGCCATCTTGTCAGCTCTACCCTGGCCCCTGGGCTGAGTGGCCTCTAACGGGTGTTTGTTGAATGAATACATGAAAGCAAGCATGGCTGGCTTACCCAGGTCTTTGCCAAACCCTGACTGCTTGAACCCTCCAAAGGGAGCGGCCACGTCCGTCTTGTTGTATGTGTTGATGAACACGGTGCCAGCCTCCAGCTTGTCGCTGATGTACAGGGCCTTGTTGATGTCCCTGGTGAAGACGCCAGAGGCCAGGCCGAACTCCGTGGCGTTGGCCCGAGTGAGCACCGCGTCCACATCCC